GATTGACGGGGAGACTGCGGCTTGCTGGAAGGTTCTGCGAACTGGGCCTTTGAAGTCCCGGGCGTCGCCGCCTTCTTGAATGGAAAAGGATGAGACGCAGACCTGGATGTGCTCGGGGCCTTGGGCCTCGCGTCATGTCTGGGGACGATGCAGTGAAGTGCCTCAGCCTGCTTCTTCCTCTGTTCAAATTTGGTTTGGATGACGTCAAGCGCTTGACCAAACAGTCCTGTAGGCGTTATCGGTTCATCCAAGTAGGCCGCTCTGTCCTTGTCGGGAACGTCTGAGAGCGTTAGCCACAGGTGCCTCTGCCCACCACAGTAGAAGCCATTCCTTTCCCCAGAGCCAGCGCTGCACAGCGGGACACACGCAAAATGTGGTCTGACGCCAGTCTGATCTCGTTCAGCGGGGGTAAAAGGGGGTTTTCCTGTGGCATCTGAGCTGCCAGTTCAGCCAAGGCCATGGCCTGGTAGGTCTGAAGCATGGTGACGGAGCTCAGCGCACGGGCGGTGTTACCTTGGGCTTTGTAGATTTTCTCCAGCTGTGCCGAAGAGAATCTGCAGGGCTTGGAAGGGAGCAGGGTGGGCCCGCTCACACCCTGGTTGTGAGACGGAGCCAAATAAGCAGCTAAAGAAGGCTCCATCGGAGGGATGCCCACCAGGCATGCTTGGTCTGCCCCTTCCACGTCCCAAGTACTGATCCTGTCTGGGCACGAAGGCACGTATGGACAGCGGTTTGCTCCAGGAAGACGTCAGCTCTGACACAAAGTCCGGAAACATAGGCAGACAGTGCTTCACATCAGCCGGTTCAGACAGCAGATAAAACCCTGCGAAACTCGACGGCTTTTGTGCAGGTGGGGGGTCGGGCCACTGTACCTCCAGTTTAGCAGCAGCTCCGCGGCACAGGGACAAGACGGACGAATCCTGGTCCACCCTCTCAGCAGCGGGGGTGGAGTGAGCTGGGCACGGCTCCTCGTCATCTTCGGACAGACTGTGAACCTCCTGCTCCATCTGCAGAACATCGTCCTCCTCTTGGTTTAGATCCAGTAGAAACTGGGTCTCGCCCCCCTCGATGTCGGGTGAGGTCGTCTCATGCTCCATCTGGTCCGCCCAGCTAGCAGTGGGGGCTTCGACCGCCGAATCCTCATCTTCTTCGGACTGAGCCGTCTGGCTGGTTTCCGAGAGTAGCGGGTCTTGTCGGAAAACAGCAGTTTCCCCCAGCATTTTCTCCAGGAATTTCACTCTCCTCTCCAGTGTCGGACGCGAAAGTCCGGCACAGGCCCGGCAGGACTCGGGCTCCACAAGCGCCCGTTGAGTGTGAATGATTCCTAGGCAGGCCGGGCAGGCCTCATACTGGTCCTTCTCATGAAGCTTAAAGCCGCACCCTTGAGGACAGGGGCGAACAGAAGACTTTGGTTTCTTCGAAGGTGGTTTTGTGCTCATCGTGAAACACAAAACAGATTTTCAGCAGAAAATAAAGGTCACTTAAGTAGGGTCAAGCGGCAGACACACGAACCAGCAGGTAACGCGGTTAGCACCAGTAAAGCTAGCCTAAGGACCTTAGAAGCTGGGCTAACTAGCAGCAGCTACAGTGGGGAGATCAAGTATTTGATACACTGTTGATTTTTCAGGTTTTCCCACTTGCAAAGCTTGTAGATGACTGTAATTTTTATCATATGTACTCTTCAACTGTGAGTGATGGAATCTAAAACAAAAATCCAGAAAAATACAATGTATCATTTTTAAATAATTAATTTCCATTTTATTGTGTGAAATAAGTATTTGATCATCTATCAACCAGTAAGAATTTTGGCTCTCACAGACATGTTAGTTCTTCTTTAAGAAGCCCTCCAGTTCTCCACTCATTACCTGTACTAACTGCACCTGTTTGAACTCATTACCTGTATAAAAGACACCTGTCCACACACTCAATCAATCAGACTCCTGCATCTCCACAATGCCCAAGACCAGAGAGCTGTGTAAGGACATCAGGGATAAAATTGTAAACCTGCACAAGGCTGGGATGGGCTACAGGACAATAGGCAAGCAGCTTSGTGAGAAGGCAACAACAGTTGGTGCAATTATTAGAAAATGGAAGAAATACAAAATAACGAAAAATCTCCCTCGGTCTGGGGCGCCATGCAAGATCTCACCTCGTGGAGCATCATTGATCTTGAGGAAGGTGAGGAATGAGCCCAGAACTACACGGCAGGACCTGGTCAATGACCTGAATAGAGCTGGGACCACAGTCTCAAAGAAAACAATCAGTAACACTCTACGCCGTCAAGGATTAAAATCCTGCAGTGCATGCAAGGTGCCCTTCCTCAAGCCAACGCATGTCAAAGCCCATCTGATGTTTGCAAATGACCATCTGAATGATCCAGAGGAGGAATGGGAGAAGGTCATGTGGTCTGATGAGACAAAAATAGAACTTTTTGCTTTAAACTCCACTCGTCATGTTTGGAGGAAGAAGAATGATGAGTACAACCCCAAGAACACCATCCCAACCGTGAAGCATGGCGGTGGAAACATCATTTTTTGGGGATGCTTTTCTGCAAAGGGGACAGGACGACTGCACCATRTTGTGGGAAGGATGGATGGGGCCATGTATCGTGAGATTTTGGCCAACAACCTCCTTCCCTCAGTAAGAGCACTGAAGATGGGTCGTGGCTGGGTCTTCCAGCATGATAACGACCCAAAACACACAGCCAGGGCAACTAAAGAGTGGCTCCGTAGGAAACATCTTAAGGTCCTGGAGTGGCCTAGCCAGTCTCCAGACCTGAATCCAATAGAAAATCTTTGGAGGGAGCTTAAAGTCCGTGTGGCCCAGCGACAGCCCCGAAACCTGAAGGCTCTAGAGGAGATCTGTGTGGAGGAGTGGGCCAAAATTCCTGCTGCAGTGTGTGCAAACCTGGTCAAGAACTACTGGAAACGTCTGATCTCTGTAATTGCAAACAAAGGTTTCTGTACYAAATATTAAGTTTCATTTTTCTGGTGTATCAAATACTTATGTCACATAATAAAATGGAAATTAATTATTTAAGAATCATACATTGTATTTTTCTGGATTTTTGTTTTAGATTCCATCACTCACAGTTGGAGTACCTATGATAAAAATTACAGTCTTCTACATGCTTTGCAAGTGGGAAAACCTAAAAAATCAACAGTGTATCAAACACTTGATCTCCCCACTGTATGTGAGCTCAGGTTTAGAGGTGACTATCGCAAGGTGAAGGGCGATAGAACTGAGTAATGATGCTGGTGACTCCGAACTTATAGGGTGAAGGCGGAGCCTGTCACCAGACGTTCAACGTCACCACGTCACTGGACTAAAGACGTGATTAGAGGTGGCTTCAGCCAGGCACGCGAGGGCACGCGTGTCCCATATACAACTGCATGTTGTACTGAGTGAAATGACTGAAATGGAACAACCAGATACACAGTGAGACAACAGTAGACCACTAAGGAGGGCTTTCTGACTTTTTCTTGCATTCCCGCTGTGCTGCTCAGGAGGGGAAAAAAACCAACAGGAGTGTAAAAATACTTACTTACTTACTTAAAAATAGATTCCAAGACAAATAAACTTCAACTGTTGCAGGTTTTTTATTTATTTATTTTTTTTACTATCTAATGATGTGTGTGACACTATAATTCTGCTACACATTCTGCTGAGAGCAACTGGGAGAGCTTCTGTAGCACTTCTGTTGTGACGTTTTATATAGGATCTGGACTAATAATTCACTTATTCTACTGCTGTCATTAACTTCCTGAAAACCAGAGCTTTTTTTTAATAGATGTAAGCAAAGAACTTTTACAAAGCAGACAAACTTCCAGCTGGTACACCACAATCATTCTCAAGGCTTTGTAGTAATGGTGATAAGAGGAGGCTTACGCAACCTCTTCTTATATGGTCTTGTATTCTGTGTGGTTTTAATAAAAAAATAAATAAAGCTGACCTTTATTTTACCATACTCAGCCCATGATTTTACTATATTCAGCCCGTCATTTTACTATATTCAGCCCGTCATGTCAAGGATTTCAGGGAAAACCATTTAAATGAATATGTGAGGGAAAAATGCAAAAAAAAAAAAAAATCAAAACCTGTTTTATTTTTGCTTTTATTCTACACAATTATTTCTGCTAAAATTAGGTGTAATAACACTGACAGTGTTACCACTCAAAACAGAAAGGTCAGCAGCAAGACGGTCAGCTCGCACCTTTCAGTTTGAAGTTGGCATGTTCCCATAAAACCTGCCTGCAAGAGTTTTTCATTGCATAGTTTGACTTCCTCCCACGTCCTTAAGCCTGTGCATGTTAGGTTAACTGGTGATTCAAAATTGACTGTAGGAGTAAGTGTGTGTGAGTTTGTGTGAATGTTGAGGTTGGCTGGATTAAATGTGTGTACATGCTGTAGATACACACATGTACTTCAACTGATAGTAACAGCTTATTTTAAAAAAAAAATCAGAGTCCGTGTGAATCTGTAAGTCACTGCATCAAAACCCAACAGAGAATTATTCAGAACTATTTTTTCTTTAGTTTGTTTTCTCTAAACCAAACATATTGGTTCCATAATTGTCTTAATATTTGTTATTGAACTCTTGGTCCATTAAGTGACTGTGGGATTTTCTCGCTGAGCCTGAATGGAATAAAGATAGCCTCTCGGTGTTTGAGGGAAGGCATTTATTAAGACTTGAGCTAATGAGCTAATGTGGAGCTTAAATATGAGCCTGTCTCATGGCGCTTTGTGCACCAGAAGTTATTTTCTTCATCCGATCGCATCCATGTTTTCCTTTGTTCAGTCATTCCCGTCTCCTCATAAATGTCTGTGATCAGCATATTGATATTGAGCTAAAATGTAATTATATAAATGGTAATGGCTTTGAGTTTAGAACTGAAATGGAAGCTAGAAAACAATTGCTGTGTTTGGTGTTTATTTTGTCGTGTGCACCATCCCCTATTTAATCTTAATTACTAATACTTTCTAAATGTACATATGGGCAATATTAAGACATTTAAAGTCATTTTACATTTAAGCAAAGCTGTCATTTCACTTCATCACTTCAGAAATGTGCACACGACTTGACTCATTTGCTAATAAAGCACTGCCACCACATTTCTTTAATCATTTTTTCCCCTTTTTAATTATAAAATGTAAATTACTATAAGATGTTCAAAAATGTACATGTACAATAAATATCTGTAACTGGAGATCATGGTACACATGTTGCAGTACATAACGAACATACAAAATCTGAAGTAATTGTATTTTTAAGTGAAACAGTATAGTGCAGTAAAGTCAAGCTTTAGAAGTGTTATAAAAGATGGAAGTAATGAGGCTTCCAAAACACTGTGATGTTTCTCTTTTTTTATGAACTGCTTAAACAGTGGTCAAGTCTTGACTGTTTGTACCTCCATCTGCCACGCAGAGTAGCCTGAGTCATGTTCCACCTCACTGACAGAACAGAAGCAGATTGTTTTTCTTCAGGTGGATATGAACTTCATTTGCATCATTAAACTAAATTTCCCGTGGAGGCAAAGTTAATCCCTCTGCACCTTTGCCTATTTATGTGTACTTTCAAAAACAACGGATATTTGCTCTAATTCATTACCTACGCTAATTTGCATAGGTGCATTTTTTTTTTTTTTCATTTCTGAAGCAATGTGACGTGCATTAAATAGTCACCGAATCGCATTCCAGATAACATGCAGTTCAGTCTTACTGTTCTTTGATTCCTCAAATCAGCTGGTTGGTTTTGATCACAGCTCTGCAAACTCTGACCATCCTGGCAATAAATTTTTCAAGGAAGCTGACTGAAATCTCTGCTCATGCAGTTTGAAAACTTTCTGAAAGCAGTTGTGCATTTGTTGGCTGCACAGTTCAAACCTTTTTGTCCAACCTATTTTGAACAAGTTCTATAGGTTCCCGTCCACTGACTGAGATTGTACGGCCTGTCTGAAAACACGTTGTGCTTCTTTTGACGTAATAGTTACAGCTTAAATGAGTCAAAGTAACATTTGTAAATATAAAACCTGTGTTGTTTTGCATTACGTTAAGAAATGTTATCACTGTTTGATGCTACCATATGTCAGTTACAATTTTAATCACACAGGCTTAAATCTGCAGCTTCGATATTTCTGGGCATATTTTGCATTTCAAAAATAAAAGGTATATTTTTGGAATTGACCTAACCTAGTTTAAAACAAATGATATTATTGCACTAAAGCCACTGAACAAACCTCACACAGAATGATGCCAAAATATATATTCTCAAATTGTGTTTAGTAATTAAAACCTAAAGCACCAAGTCACACAAGTATCACTGAAAAGACATCATGCCTATACTAACACTTCCTGGCGAGGTTGATAAATTGTTTGTAGTAAAACAGAACACAGATGGAGAAGAATACATCATTGAAATTGTATTCAAATGGGATGGAACGTTGCACAACCTATTCTTATTTCATTTATGCTAAGATTGTGCAAATCCAATGACATTTGAGCAGTGAAAATTGTTTACTGTTGAATCTTTTGAAATGAGTGCTGAGAGCGGAATAGTGTGGCGTGTGGCTGAACGGCTGTTTGAGAAGATTAAAAGTGCATTTGAATAAATCTTCTCCCGGTTTGAACTTTCAACTTTGCATTTTATTGTGAAGACTAGCAAAACACGGACTCCTCTGAAACAAGTGTAGATCGACTGCTCGTGTGAAAGTGCAGAGATCGAATACATTTTTTTTCTGTTTGAGTAGAAAGCCTCTGACACTCAGTCAAGGTAAAACACACAGATTACCGTACCTTGGTCCAGTTGACCCTCTTCATCACATTTTCAGGCTTGTACGTCTTCTTTGGCTCCAGCCCGTAAGGCAGCTTGACAACTGGTAATGCAGGAGGTGGTGGAGGCCCGCCAGGACCTCCAAAGAAAGGCGGAGGAGGCGGCGGCCCACAGCCTGGGGGCGGTGGGGGTGGCGGCGGTCCTCCACCTGGAGGCGGGGGA